TTTAATTTCTTTTTAATTTTTTCTATCAAACATATTTTCAAATATTTTATCAATTATGAGATTAAAGTTATTGTTTCATGCCTGTTTGTATTTATGAAAATTATAAAATATTGGCTAGCTCTCTAGCTATCGTTCATATCCATATCTCTCCATAGCCCTCATTCTTCAGGATATCTTCTCGTCTTCCACGCACAGCGATGACGCAACTTTTCTTTGATTCACTTATGTAAAATGCATTTAAGTACTTAAGCTACTTATAACAATCGTTGATTACTTTGGGCTTTTGGCTCAATTTAAGTCTCTTTAAGTTTCCCACTGAAACAATTTCGGGACTTGCTCTTTGATTATGTATACATATATAAATTGTGATAATATTTTTTTGTTTTTCGCAGATTCGCCATCCCGATGACGAAACGCAGTGTGTGCTCTGCAAAATGGGCACGCTGCCCGATACGCACAAGGAGTATTGCCGGCCCATTCCGGAGGTCTATTTGCGACCCGAGTCCGCTTGGGCCATTGGCGCCATGGCGTTCAGTGCGACTGGCATATTGATAACGCTCTTTGTGGTGGGCGTGTTTGTCAGGTGAGCTGGAGGCGATATACATGTGTATATATGTATGTATGTATGTGCAGCTGTTGTTGTTACTCCACGTCTCTTTATATGCGGCAATTAAAAAGTTTTATGTCTTCAGTCCAGTTGCAACAGCAAAAGTCATTTTAATTGGCATTGGCATATATATAAAATACATATACATACATACATATATGTTGTGTATAACTATTATAACTTTGTTTTGCTCTTTTCCTGCTGCCTCAATTCACTCCGTCCCCCCTTCAGGCACAACGACACGCCCATTGTGCGCGCCTCGGGTCGTGAACTGAGCTACATTCTTCTGGCTGGCATATTTATGTGCTACGGCGTAACCTTTGCCCTCGTCCTCAAGCCAACCAACATTGTCTGCGCCATTCAACGGTAAGTGTGTGTGTCGGTGTGTGTGTGTGTGTGTGTGTGTGTACCAGCTTAGTCTGTTTTACACTGCTTGTTTGCAGGTTCGCCGTGGGCTTCTGCTTTACGGTCGTCTATGCCGCATTGCTGACCAAAACGAATCGCATAGCACGCATCTTCAAGGCTGGCAAACAGTCGGCCAAACGGCCCTCGTTCATTAGCCCCAAGTCGCAGCTGGTGATTTGCACGTGTTTCATCAGCGTCCAGGTGAGTGCAGGAGACGCAATGCTTAGCATCGCCAGCTGCTCTACTTATGCCTCGCCTTTGCCACTGCAGATACTCATTAATGGTGTTTGGATGGTAATTGCCCCGTCTCATGCCATACACCATTATCCGGTGCGCGAGGATAATCTGCTGGTGTGCGACTCGTACATCGACGCCTCCTATATGATTGCGTTCTCCTATCCCATCGTCCTGATTGTGGTCTGCACTGTCTATGCGGTGCTCACCCGCAAGATACCCGAGGCGTTCAATGAATCAAAGCATATCGGTGAGTAATAATACTTGTTTTTAATGCACACAAGCCTGTAAATGGCACTTAAATTTGAGTAGAATCTTAAAGTCTATATTAAATAACTGTGTGAATTTTTATCCCATTTTGTTTTGCCCTTATTGTCTATCTAGCATTTAGTATTAATGACAGCGGATGTTGCTACAAGCCGCGATTAAATTATAATAGTCCTTGCCCTTAATGCCCATTCAATCTGCTAATTCGTTCCAGGCTTCACCATGTACACCACCTGCGTCATCTGGCTGGCCTTTGTGCCGCTCTACTTCGGCACCGCCAACCACGTGCCGCTCCGCATAACGAGCATGTCAGTGACCATTAGCCTGTCTGCCAGCGTGACGATTGCGTGTCTGTTCTCGCCCAAGGTAAGAGTTGGGGCGAGGGGCCCAGCATGGGGCAGACTATTAACAATTTATGCGACGTCTGCGACGTCAGCAAATGCGCGAATTGATTACGAATCTCGAACATCGTTAATTGCCCTTGTTTCCCCATTAATTATTGAGGCGATATTAGGCAGCCTTACAGCTACACTA